CCCCAAGCACTCCAACTGACGTCTTCCACAGTCCACACTCACCCATCAGGATCTCCATCCAAAAGGAATTGCATTCTCTAAAGTCTGACTTCAAAAGCCATGTAGAACATGAGCACTTTATATCCTCAATCTCCAGATAGCACTTGTCCCTTCTAAGGTGTGAACACCAGAATACCCATTGCCCTCCTCTCCGTGCACTTCATAATCAATTACACAGGAGCTGAATTTATCTAGATGTATGTGTTCGGTGTGATCTTGCGTCACCAATCAACAGGCCTCAAGAAAACTCTACACTAGTCCTGCAATCTAAAGCCATCTCATTTCTCATACCTGCTTCCACAAAACAGATCTATATCCAGCCAAATAACTCCCTACTTGCACCTGCATTCGCCAGAAAATCAGCCACCGTGTTTACCCCCTTTTCATAAATAACATTATTTTCTCTAGCTGTATTTGGTGCTATTCTGGATTTCTCTTTTCTTTAACACTCTTTATCTATTATTTTTCCATTGAATGTCTCTTGCTTGGTCAAAAGTTATGTACCTCAATTCAAGGGCAAACCATACACCCATGCAGCCTCCGCACCCTTCCCATCTTACCAGACCTCACATACACTCATTGAGAGCCTAAATTCTTTATTCACGGTACCATGTACATGTTTAATCCAACCATCAACTATCAAGGCAGACCCAGTTCATGGAAGCATGTGACATGCAGTTTTTTCAAAAAACAACATGAATTCACATGCAGCAAACCAGATCATTATGATAATATTTACTTCGCTGAAACTACAAATATGGATGCGGGCATATGACTCATACAGATAAAAATATTTTCCAGGAAAGAAAACAAGTTCTTCAAGAAGTGTATGACCTGGACACTGGAATAACAACATAAAGATCAAGGAACCAAAATCGAGATACCAAATTATCCATAATAAAAATATTGACATATTACTCCAGATTGCTCACTTTTTCCAGACTTGAATTCAATTCCTTCATTCGGTTCTCAGACTCATTTGCTCGCATATCTAGAGCATTGCGTATTTTACTCTGCATTTCAATTTCTTTCTTATGCGTATTCACCTGCCAAAACAATAAGCAATATAAGAATGCATTGATTAGAAGGTATCTCAACGAAATATCTTAACGAAAGCAATCTTTAAGCTGATTCCCCAACCTGTAGCTCCAATTCCTTAATGCGTGCATGAGCCTTTGCAACCTGTTCCTCTGCATCCACAGTCCCCCTTTTCTGCAGCATGACAAATAATATCATAATCAAGTAGCGTGCTAAAATGGGGGTGTTTCAGTGAGATTACAGCGGCCATGAACTCCACAGACAACTTGGTTGGTATGTGAACAAGTTATATTATGAAGAACTTAGCATTGGGCCATATTTTTCAATTTCATACTTGAATAAACCAGAGTCAGTACGAAAATAGAAAGTCGGTTTTTATGGCACTTGTCTCGAGTTCATATTTCATTGCTGACATAGAAAGTAAGAGTACAATCAAAAAACTGGAATTTCCCCAAAATTGAAAAGCTTGGATAAAATGGCTCAGATTTGGTCTTGTCCGAGTCAGCGACTGAGTTCGAGTTTCTAACACTGGGAATTAGAATGAAGAAAACCACCCCAACCACCTTCAACTCCAATAAAGTCACATGTTTGGCAATGGTCGATCTAAGCCAATAACAGGATATTGGACTTCAATATAAAAGCAACGAAAATACTCAGAAGACATAAATATCCCACAACAATAGTATAAGCACATTCATAAAAACTTCATATAATTCAGAATATTTAATAAGCTATATTAGAAATGAAACTGTAATCAACATAACAAGTTAAAACTCCTCATCTCAATGTTCACTAGAAAGCCAATATACAGTTGTTATCAACATTTACTCAAGGCTAAAGTTTCTCAAAAAGTGCTCATAGTTGAACCTGAAGAGAATCAATCTCATTTTGCAGGGATGAAATGCCCTCTGACTTCTCTTGAACAAGCTTCTCCATCTGAGCAATGCGCTCATCTTTTCTTTCCAATTCTCGAATCTTCTCCTTAATATTAGATTCTTCCAAATAACCACAAAAAATGAAAAAACATTAGTTACAGATCAGGACAGAAACACCAAACCCTGACCAAGATTACTCCTTTAGGAAAAAAAAACCAATTCAATATAAACCCTAGACTGAATCCTTCTGTAACACCCACCACTAAGTTCTAATCATTAGACCACAAACTAGAAATGGGATAGGCTATTAACCATTAGATTTGGCATATATCTATCCATCCCAAGAGATCTAGACAATCCCCCCGCCAGCTTCAACTCTCAACTTCAAAGTAAAGAATCAAAGATCCCTGAATCATAAACCCTGAACCTAATTCATTTCACCCCATGCACCCTTCACGAAAATCCCACACATACAAGCAGGAGAATTCCGAAACACCAGATACAAAACCAGTACGCAGCAGGACTTCCAAAAACCTCAAAGCAAACAAAAACCCTGACCCTAATCCTCCTCCTACTTCAGTTCCCTCACAAAAACACAATATTGGAGGATTCTAAATCACAGACGGAGAGGAATACCTAGGATCGAAACTTTAGACTGCAATTGCTTCAATTCGTTCCTCAGAGAAGCTTCAATGGCGGAAAACTGGTCTTCGGCCCCTGCATCTGCAACTGTGCGGACAGCGAAGACGCTTACGAAAAGAAGCAGCCAAGCCACGAGAGTCGTGGACGCCATGGCTTCGAAAACCAGACCACTCGTTCGTGTATGGGAAGAAACGAATCTAAGTTTTATCCGCCATTACCGTGTTATACACCGGAGAAGCACTCCTTGCGTGACTTGTGTATGGTGGGTATGGTACACGACTGGTGTGTGGGTGAGAGCCAATCGTAAGAGATCTTGGTCGTTGGTTATGGACAGCGGACTGCAGAGATTGAGTTCGAAAAACACAAGGGCGAGGGCTGGGGTGTTGTTTGCGACAGAGACGCGTGTCGGTGAGGTAGGAAAACACGGGGCAAGACGTAAAGACACGTGGAGCGTCCTCGAGGTGCGGAAAATGATCGAAATCTTCTGTCCATTTACGAGTGCATTTGTGGATCAAATGGGTTGGGTACCGGCCAGTTTCCCCATAAAACATCGCCCTTTTGAATCTAACCCTAAGGAATCCTATTTTATGGATGAACAATCAACCCCATCAATCAGAATTTTGAAACGCATCTCTCATAGATATATTTATTATTTTATTTTTTTGGGTAATTCAATGAGGATGACGGGACCCTACCCGTTTTCTAATTCGTTTGTGGTTTTTTAAAGCGTTCGCTGAAAATAATAGCTTCAATTTTTGTTGAGACACAAGTAATACTACCACCATGACCCCAACCCCATTCTAAAATGGATATTTACTTGAAAGTTGAAACAATGCAAAATCGACAACCCTCATCCAATTATATTCTATATAACATTTTTTCATAATGGAAGAAATACAAAAGCATGTTGTCTCTTTTCTGTTATTGGTTTCTTTCTGGATTTTCTTACCATTTTTTCTTGCCCCTAGTGAAAGGATAATTGGATAATTGGCTGGTTATGATGCAATGAATGTTTTATATTTGTTATGTATTGATTCATTTGATTTTTTTATATATTGATAAATTTAAATTTTACGAATATTTATGTAAATATCGGTGATTCGGATCGAAATCATCGATAACGATCCAATTTCCTCCTTATATTGGGAACTAGCCGGGTCCCTCTCGAGCCGGTCAAATATATGATAGAGTTGGCTATGTTAGAAACAGACCGAATTTGTCCGGCACCAATTAGAACGAGGAACGTTAATGAGAGACACCTCATTGCAGCCCTACCACGAACACTCAAAATTTGAGCGTTGCCTTTTTATGAAGGCCTTGGACGCTGCAAAATTTTGATTGGGGACAAAATGGGCCCTTGCATGCTGCAAATACTGGTTGGGGACTCAATGGTGATTGAATGGGGCATGGGTGATTAGATACGGGTATGGGTGACTAATGGGGGGGTCTATAGGTAGGTAGGCTGGGTAGAAAAATAAATTTTGAGGTAAATGTACGAGGTGATTGAATAGCCTGGGTAGATGAACAAATTTTTCGGTGGAGATTAAATTTTGAGGTAAATAGTGAAATATATTAAGTTCTCAAAAAAAAAAAAGCTTTGAGGCAAATAACAGTAATAAAATTATTTATTTGCTTTTAATTTTTATTAGAACATGCTTATAAATTCATATTTTGAGCTATATGCAAACTGCATATTATTTACTAATTTATTTATCTTTAAAGTACATTATCTATTATTGTTTGTTATAGTTGTACATAATATTTTTTAAAAATTAGTTGATATAATAAGTCAGAGTTTAAATTTTTTTTTATTTGCATCGTAAAATAATTATAAAATATAAATTAATAATTTCAATTTTAGTATATATTATTATAGTTTGTTAGGTTGTGATAATTTTGGATAAGTAAAGAGAATTAATGAATGATTGATACGATACTAATTTCACTTTATAAGGGTATCATTTTTTTAATCTTATAATAAGAGAGTATTTGTTTTGAACCATGTTTAAGGTAATATCATAATATTATATTATAATTAATTATTATGTAGAGAGACATGGAAACAACCTCGATATTCATGTTTTTTTTGTAAAATAATGAAAGTACTATAACAACCCCAATTTTTTTTCGAAAACTCAAAAATTCTTTATTTTTAGGGGTTTTAATGATTTTTTAAGCCAAAACCAGATGATCTGGCCCATTCTTTGATCCAGATCGCTGAGCCACATATCCAACATGGTTTCAAAGTGGCCGTTCCGGGTCATCGATCCATGTTTTTTAAACATTGGTTCATATTTTATGCTCATATCTTGCCTTTTTAGAGCATGGCTTATATTTTAATTTTATTTTCTATAAATCTGATCGAACTCAAATCTTGAGAGTTCGTAGTCACCATGATGAACATGCAAAAAATACAAATAATATTATGAAAAATTTACCAAAACACTTATAATGTTTCAACTATATAACAATTGGGCAAGCTTTCTATGCTTCTCCTAAGCATAAAACTTATATACTTCCCCTTATTCAACCATCCATTTTGAATGGAGGGTTAAGATTGTCTCAATCACAATGTCATGTCTCTACATCGTTTTATTTTTTAATTTTTTTTTTTGCAAACTATTTTGACACCAAATTTTGGACATCCATTCTTCTATTAAACTCGCACTAGCGAAAAATATAAAAAACATATATATTTTCAACAAAAAGATTACCAAAATACCCCTGAAATTCTCAAGGGGTATTTTGGTCATTATATTTTATGGTTTTTTTTTTTAATATGTTTTATAGGTGTGCCCCAATGAGAAGATAGCATGTACCAAATTTCATATTCATACAAATTGTAAAAAAAAAACTAAAAATAAAATACTTTAAGATGTTGGATCTAAAGATAAAATGGTGAATAGCTCTCTTGATCAAAATTGGACAGTTGGATGGTAGGGGAAGGATAGAACTTCTACGCTGTAGGAGAAGTATATAAACCTTTCCGATAACAATTTACTCTTTTTCTACTATTCCAAGTCCAGATCATGTTGATTTCCATGGGTATTTTCAAATTAAATAAAAGCATATAGTCAACATCTTAAGCATATTTTGGCGAAATTTTCTTATTTATTTTTCAATAAATAAAATGACCACAATACCCTAATATTCTATATATATAAGATATTTTTTAAATACTGAAAAAATGGGAGATATTAACCCGCAAATTTAATTCCCAACATGACTTGTTATTGTTTATTCTGTTTTTTTATTTGATAGAGTTGATCCAACAGACGATGATATTTTCTCTCTTTTCTTTTTTATGTTAACTGAAGATGATATTTTTCATACTTATTTATGTTATTTGTCATACTTATTTTGTTTCTTCTATTTCTGCTGTAGTTATTGCTTATGGAGACGAGCCAGTGCATATTAAACTTCATAAATACTCCAACGGCCCTCTAGTGCTGATTTATAGGAGAGCTGTGGAAATTTATACCTTCTTCGTGAAAGAAATACTTATATGATCTTTTGTTAGGGAAAGAATAATTTTTTTTTTAAATAATAATCACCTCTTATAATTTTGGCAACAAGATCACTCACAGATGGTCTTATTACAAACAATAGAAATTCAAAAAATAAATAACACATCAATAAAATAAATCTCAACTACTTGATGTCATTTATACAACCTAATATTGTGCTTAAGAATATAAAATAAAAGAACAAACAAATAAAAAAAAAGTATGCCAGAGATTACCTCAAAAGCTAATTTCGGCCAAATTAAATAAGTACCATTAAATCTTTACAAAACCCTAACTTCAACATAATTACGCTCAAACCTTAATTTTCCCAACCTTTAGATTAGATCATGAGAGAGAGAGCTTAGGGAGATCATGAGAGAGATTAGATCATGAGAGAGAGAGCTTAGGGAGATCATGAGAGAGAGAGAGCTTAGGGAGATCATGAGAGAGAGTCTAAGTTGGGGCGTGCCCCCTAACGTATTTTTAGGAAAGAGAGAGTAGAGGAGAGAGAGAGTAGAGAGAGAGTTTATGGGAGAGAGAGAGTTCATGAGAGAGAGAAGTGTGTAGAGATTGGGGAGAGCACCCCTATTTATAGTGAAATTTAAGTTTAGGGTTTTTTTAGGGTTTCTCATAGTCTGCCTCTTTATTGAGATTGAATATGGAACCTTTATCAATGTGACTTGTGGGGTGAGAGATCTGAGTCATCCATTTCATAAATGGACTATCAACATTATAGAAGGTGCATGAACCATTATCCCCCTTTTCTTAAACCATTTTTCTCATTAATATATTTAAATAAGTTAAATCTATTAAAATATTATACATTCCATAAAATTGCATAATCCATCTCATATTTTCTATAAGAATATTTCAATAATATCAAGTCAAGATATTATTTCAATAATCAAGATTAGATATGGTCAATATTTTTCAAATGATATTTGACCATATGCTTATAAGATGGACTTTCCAAAAATTACAAAACTTGATATCAAAGTAATAACAAAGGGAGCAATGGGTGAGGCGTGCAACCCATATGTGGCATATGTGGGCCCCCACCCATTTGCCACATGGTGGGCCTATGTGCATGTCACACCCCAAGAATTTACAATACTGATATTCCTGATATGTGACAGTCAAAACATATATATATTTCTAGATAGGACAAATTTACAGTGGCAAATTCTTACAAGGTAACAAAAGAAAGTTAGCACAACAACAATATCTTCCAAGGTTGATCCCGACTATCACTCAAAATGAATCCGCATTTATCCTGAAAAAATGTTTATCATAATTTGATGAGTTTGGCTAATCAGTAAGTGATCATCATAATCCTAAAAATAATCATGATTGAAATATATCAATATTTTCAAAAAGGAGATCTATTAAAAGAAATGCATTAACAATTTCACTTTCAAAAATGCATAATTAAGTATAATCCGAATAATTGAAATACATATCACATTTTAGCGTCAATGCATAATTAAAAAGATTTCACAAAATACCCTACTGGCGTCTCAAGTAGGTAACCTATATACTCCATCAGCGTCCTGATAGGTCCACTTAATCCCTATCGGCGTCCTAGATAGGTCCACTTAATCCCTGCAGGTCCATTTATATATCACCGGCGTACCGGATGAGTCTACTTAATCCCTACCAGCGTCTCGAATAGGTCCACTTATACCTCACCGGCGAATCGGATAAGTCCACTTGCATACTTAAAGTATTTCTAAATCTCTTTAAACATTCGAAAGCAGCAATATCATGTACTCAACGTATCACTAAATCATTAATATGAATCTCACTGAAACCATTAATAACAGTCACTTTCAATAACATTTCAACCAATCAAATATTTTGGGCTTAAATTTAGAAAGGTAGCAGTTCGTAAAGACATTCTAGCATAATTGTCAATTTAATATGTATAGAAAAACTCTTATAGAAATAAAAAAATACGGAATTATCACAATTTATGAGATATCAATTCACAAATAAGCATTTCACAACAATGCTATAATCAATTGCAAAAATATCAATTTTTAAATAATAAGGTAGTCATTTGCACTTGAATTTTACAATATCTAAATATTCAAAAACAGTAGAAAGAATTCTCAGAATTTTACTAACAGCAGAAATATCACATTTATTTTTAATAATTTTACAGTATCTAAAATTTTCTAACAATAGACAAGAAAAATAAATAAATTTATTTTTCTAAGAATTTATAGCATTTAAAATTTCTAACATAGATAAAATATCACAATTTTTTTTATTAAAAAGATTATTTTTCAAGATAATGAGGTCGCGTGCGCATAAAATTTATCGCGCCTAAAATTCATGATAATAAGTAGAAATAATTATTTCATTTCATTTTTAAAAAGAACAAATTATTTTTCAAGACAGTGAGGTCATTTACACACAAAACTTATAAAATAAAAATCCTGGACGAAAATATCATTATTTATTAAAAAGCAAACTATATTTCAAGAAGATGATGTCACTTACTTTTAATCAGTCACGAAATTGATGCTTTACTTTTAATCACTCACGAAATTGATGCTTTTTGTGTACGTTGGTTGGGGCACTAAAAGGCCGCCCGTTTACAGTAGATCTTATAGAATCAGTATGCACAAGAGGTCAGTGATAAAAGTTTCAGTTAAAAAGACGCATCTCATGGTTATATCATAGGAAGATGGCACATTTAATTTACTTACACGTCATAGTGGATTGTCAAGGGCCAACAGGTAAGAGAAACTACAAGCCACGTCATAAGATAAGAAAAGCTTAAGCTAAAAGCTTTTGAAAATAGTGATGGTCCCTAAGGACCATCATGCTCATATGGACCATCACTTATTAAAAGTTTATTTTCCTTTTTTTTTTTTTGAAAGTTTAGGATTGTTACAGTGCACTATGGGCACCCATGAAAATTTTATAAATATTTTAAAAAATTTTATTTAAACATTAATTGAATCTTATATAACTTGTAAAATTAATAATTTTATATATATAATTTCAAAAATCATAAATAAAATATTGAAAGATTCATAAAAATTCAAATAATAAATCTAAAATAATTTTTATAATAAAATGAACACAATTAAATTATATATGACGGGAAGTGGATCTATATGGTTCAGTGATTCTATCAACAAACACGGGGTACTCCACCTTCAACTGTGGACTACAGATCACACTTGCTTTATCGAACCGACCCAGTGTTTCCCATGACCCACAGTCCAAACAGGAGCTCATAAGTGGGTTGCCAAAGTTTGGTCGATAAGCCAAAGAGTCGCAATCCTAGTCTGTGGATTACAGGTCCTCCCCTAAATACAAGTCAAAGTCACCACTACCTGATTCGACCACATCTCTATGGCGCATAGAGATATCTCTCGCACATGCATACGCTTCACCAAAAGGTGGATATCTTCCGAACGATCTATCTATATGCATGCCGTGTGATGGAACATGGATGAGGTTTTGGCCTCCGTCTCAATAGGACTATCATCACACACAAAGGTCACACAATCCATCGACTCTCTCATCTAGGCATAAGCTCCGACCTCATCACTGGCTAACCCAAAACCCTCATCGGTTAATTTTTTATGCCCAAGTACCTTGGGTTTTCTAATCGTCTGGCCTAGATCGATAATCACAGTTCGGTATAAACAAACATCATTTGCTTAGTATGGTCATTGAGGGACCACACTTCCACTAAGTTTATGCTTCACTATAATGAAAGTATTTCAACACACACTCATAAAACCTTTAAAGGCCACATAAACCCAACACTTCGGGGGATTTTTTTGGTTTGGAATGATACAATCCACGAAAATCATAATCATCATCATCATCTGAATCTTATCTCAACTATTTGTCTCTTGCTATCTGAATCTTTTTCGAGGGCCATATCCTCAATAAGACTATGTTGTTGAGGATTGACAAGATTCGATAAAATTTTATGCTGGCTGTCTTACCTTAATACAACCCTCCTATTGTACCCAAGGATCGGCATGATCTGTTTGGGTTTAGCCAAGGTGGGCTTAAAAATCACAAGACAAGTATTTAAATAAATAAGGTACTTTTTAAAGTTCTTAAGTACTTAGATTTCACCATAAAAAAAGAGAAGTGCATATGCTTTTTAATTTTATACTCTTTTTTGAAGTTAGTTTTGAGCAAGTTGGAAGTTACACGTGGAAATGTTCAGTCATTGAAGCAGCTAGAACATGTAATTTGAGGTTCGAACCCCACATTGGCTTTTCTCATAATAAGGACTTAAGAGACAGAGATTGGTTGTTTTCAATATGTGTGCATTATTTAAAACTTATCCCACAAAAAAAAAAGAGAGAAAAAAAAAGCAAATATCTATAATCGTTCATGCACAGCATCATAACAAGCCCTAGTTCCGGAGCAAATCTATGCACAACGATTAAAGTGCGTAGAACATGCCCTGCATGTTGTGCACTTATTTTCTCGGGTAAATGGCCCACTTAAAAAGTATTTTCTCAATTTGAAATTTTGGGACCGACTTTAAGATAGCCTAATGGGTATTTTCAAAAAACACAAAGAAAACAAGAAAAATATATTTCGAATTTCTAAGCACTCAGATACTTTCTTTTTAAATCTATAAAATGTGAGATAATTTCGCTCTCTAATTCGTAAGGTTGTTTTTGTGGATTTAATTGTATTTTATTAAGTGGATGTCTCCCTAACAAGGAAATCTGGCTGGAAATCAATTTCGGTGGATAAAGACAATGATGCATATTTCTTTACTTTTGATTTGAAATGAGAAAAACAATTACCAGAAATACTTTTCAGTCCCAAACTGCCGATCCAAATGTCAAAAATGCGTACCTCCACTGAAAAACATTTTTAGAAATATATTTCCATGTATCCAAACGATCCCTAAGATTTGACCTTCTGAAAATTGGATGATGTCCATTAGCACTCACCTGGTCTTCCTATAGTTTCTCTTTAAAATTGACCATTTATTTGATCATGTAAGCGACGATAAATATGACATAATGCACGATAATTCTGTACAGAGTACAAAGATCAAACTTAAGATCTTTGCTTGAAACTCACACGATTGGGGCTCTGGAAGATGCTTTTGAAGCTGAAACAATGTAAATAGAACACAAAGTGACTCATAAAGAAAATGGAAGTCATGAACATGTATCATTTGAAGCAGATCGCCAAATTGGCGATACGAGAAACTACACATACAAATATGCTCCAAAGCATCACTACCTCAAATATCAACAAGTACATCGTTGAATGCATGAGTACGCATTCAAGCTTTTTGGCTTGCGCATCCAAAAAACTGTTATAAACCCACATCAATAGCAGCAAAACACAAACAAAATTTTGCTCTCTATATTTTAGGCACTATCATATGTCAAATCCAACGCCTCCTCCCTACTCCTCTGAAGTTCCTTAGCCTGACGCATGAGCCCTAGAGTCGAGTAAGCCTTTATCATCGTACTATACGTGATCTTATCAGGCAGGCAACCCTTCCTTGACATTTCCTCTAGCACCTTCTTCATCTCAGCCAAGCAACCAATCCTACCATAAGCCCCTATCAAACAATTATAGAAAGCAGTATCAACCACAATATCCGAGTTCTCGATAATTCTTAGCACTCGTGCTATCTTCTCCCCAGATCCCTCATACCCATAGGCCCTCACTAGGGAAGACAAAGTGACATAGTTTGGTTTCATCCCATCGGATCTCATCATTCTAAATACATATTCCATCTGCTTTATGTCACCTGCTCGACCAAACGCATCTATAACCACGTTATATGTGACTATGGTCCATTTGTAATAGTATTTTTGCATGAATTCCATAACTGCACTCATTTTATCGTACATTTGAGCTTTGCCATATGAGTCAAGGAGGATGTTGAAGGTCTTTATGTCAGGAAGGATGCCACTTGCTTGGAACTTTTCATAGCAACTCTCCATGTTCTCGATTTGGCCACTGGAACCAAAGGCCCGGAGAGTGGCATTCATGGTCCAGACATCAGGTTTGCACCCACTCTCACCAAGCATGTCCATGAGCACTCTTTCCATCTCTGAATATCTGCAAGAGAGATCCTCACATTTGGTAATGGAATATAACTGGTGATGGTGTCCCAAGAAGATTAACATTGGACATCCTAGTTTCTTTCTCCTTTTCATTCGGATTTTTCTTATTGAACATTTTTTTGTCCGGTGAACTAGGCCATTGCTACTGATAACATAAGATAAATTCATGAATTATTTGGGAAAGTTAAATAACATTTTAAAATATGGGTTAACTGGATTTCTCGGTACAAATTTGACCATGGGTTAAATATAGGGCCTCAAAATCCGAAATATGTCTATGCAAAGTCAAAAACTTGATTTTGACTTGCCTCACAATTCAAATTTTCACAGCAAGTTCTTCTTTTTCTTTTCATTCAGTATCAGAGTTTTAGTAAATATTTTTGACCAAATTTGTTAAATATTTCACCATTGACTAGAAATTGCAAAAGTTTCAAGAACAACCACAAGCTTCAGTATTTGGTTTCTAGAATACAAAAAAGGGGAATTTTTTTTTCCCTTTGTGTACCTGCCCACCTTGCCATAGGCATCAATGAGGGTGTTGTACGTAATGGTGTTTGGTTTCACCCCTCGGCTTACCATTTCAGAGAGCAGCTTCTGGACGAAATCGAAAGCTGAGACCTGGAATAGGGAAATTCTTTTGTCATTAACCATTAGAATGGTTACTTAACCATTATAATGGAATAGGGAAATTCTTTTGTCATTAACCATTAGAATGGTTAAATAAAATTGCACAATTAACACAACCAAAAGAAATAACCCAAGTTTTTTTTTTTAAGATGAAGATAGAAAAAAAAATTACGAAAAGAAAATAAATGAGACCTGGAGGCAAGATTTGATGAAGATAGAATAGGTATGAACATCTGGTTTACAACCAGGTATCTCCTTCATTTGCTCCAGAATGGAGAAGGCCTCATCAAATAGGGCACTCCGGCTGTAAGCTGAGAGGAGGGCTGTATAGGATTCATGGTTCGGAGTGCAACCCTCTTCGACCATAGCATCAAAAAGAATCCTTGCTCTCTGGGGTTGCTTGCACTTTCCCAACATGACTATGAGTTTGATGTATATACCTGCATGTGGCCTGTACCATAGCTGCTCTCGTAGTAGTTCGAACACCTGAAATCAGAAGAAGAAAAAGGGTAATGTCATTGCCTCATTAATAATAATTAAATTTTTTTTAAAAGAAAAGACTTATTACAGATAGACACACACACACTCTGCATATAGCTTACTGCAATTATTTGCATTTGACAGCAATTCACACTGAAATACAGCAGCCCTCATGGAATCATCCGTTTGGTGCCATTATCATCAATACACCCAATGCTCTGTGTGTGTGTGTGTATCTCTCTCCCTCTCTCTTGCGCACACACACAGCAAAAAGTTGTTGCTACACTCAATGAGAACAAGCAGACACTACCAGAAACATGTATAAGAATGCTTCAAGGTAGAAGCAGCACCTAAATGTGCTGGAAATACACATTGCCCATATACTACATAATGATCGATATACCATCGAGAAAAAAAATTTGAACCATGTCATGCATAAATTGCCACATATAAATACAACTTTAGGAAGGCTAATGGAGATGAGTTCATAGAACCCTACTAGTTACACAATACTTCTTTTAAGAAACAACGTATGTCAGCAAATCAGCAGGGCATCAGGCATATAACTCCAGGCACTTTTCGCACAAATAATAAGGGAAACAGGTAAAGTTCAAAATCATCTCAAAAGGAGACAGAGCGTTGCTTGCTCTAATTTTCTCAATTGGTTTTGATAAAAAAGAATAAATCTTTTCTTTTCCTAGAAAAGATAATGCAAAATCACTATTAACAAAACTTTGACAGACATGAGAAAATGAAATCTTTTTCAGATAAAGATCAGATCATAAAGATCAGATCGCTTCCTAAGCTCAAAAAGCCAAGAACAGTTGATATGAAAAAGAAAAGTTTAAGAAGGGTCCCTATTAAGCTATCTCAATTTTAGCACTGCAACCTGCAAATAATTAAGAAATCTCAGTATCATATAATTCTTAAACAATGGTTTTGAAACCCCATAAACAAGAAAAGAATAGGAATGACATTATATGGATAAAGTTATGTAGAGGAGCCTATGATTGGGTCAGTCTGAGCTTCAATCATTAATCAATAGAACATACAAGATGCTTGGAAAAAAAGAGCTCATTTATATTTTTTTGGGCTGACAACTTGAAATACAAGAGATCCCTTGTCTATATCTAATGCTTAAGTGTCTAGAGCATAGAGAAATTGCTTTATGGCATTGGAGACCGGTATGTTTCATGGCATATCAGTTATAAAGTGCAAAACTAGTCCAAGCCTCGTGGATGTGTTTTAAAAGTTTGATGGATACCTATTAATAAATTCAATGAAAGATGCCTATGTTTGCTTATTCACTTATTCTGGAATCACATGTGACATAAGTTCAACATCTGTAAAGAAAAGGTTAACTAGGGTTGTAGAACACATGGCTAGCCTACAAAATGAGACAGAGTTTAAGGCTAGTGAGTGTCACTTGGTTCCAAGGTGGGTATGCTGCAAGAGGCTTTATAAATAAGTTCCCAAATTAGATTGTTCATTTACATCTGATAAAATTCTTACAGATCTGATGATATCAATGTGCCCTTTATGACACAATGCTATGGGTAATATATTGAAGGCTTCCGGGGTCTCATTAAACATTTGAGCTGAACAAAATTTTAGTGTTAAACAATAACATCCAATGTGAGGAGGGGAAACGACAACAACCATCATACTCTACGTCCAAGATGTTCTTAACCTCTTTTTTGTTTCTTATCTCGTTGGCATTCTAATTATGCTTTTGGCAAATTTAAGTGCATATCATCATTGACATCATTAGAGCTTGTTCCCAACTATTTGGGGTTGACTATACGAATCCTGGTCCTCTCACCCTCAGCGAGGTCATAAATCCCCATATTTTTTCTCAAATTTGAGTGCATATGAATGAACTATATAAGGCTTAAGCATTAGTTACATAGCTTCAGAAATTTGAAGTGTGGGAGCATCAAGTAGCTTGATCCTGACAATCTAGTTTGAAGTACCGTCCTAATTTAGTTCAGTTTATTAATTTTCTTTTACAAAAATACGTATTTCTTCAAATGTACTTTTGCCTTTCTCAAAAGTGTTATTGAATTTGTGCTATTCTTTATAGGGTTGTGTATTAAAATTTGGGCAGCAAATGCACTATACATGACAAAAATGAAATAGATATTATAGTAAAAGTGAACACTCTTTTGAAGTTTTCCAGATCAATTTGTTCCTTCTTGGTCTGTCACTCAGGAAAACATAAATAAATTGAAGATTAAGAAGCTTAACTTCCATAGGTTATGTAAGAGAAATACTTTTGCAGGGGTAATGAGGGAACTATCAGTTCCTGCATAACAGAGTATTTAACATCGAAAAAGTAAAACTTATCGTGCACATCCAGTTCAGCTTTGTTAATGAATTTGGTTTTTTGAAAAAACGTCCATAAATTTATTAAAATTACCACAGAAATTCTCCAACATGAAAGTAACCGAACAATCCTATGACGCAAAAAGAAAAAGAAAGGAACACCACAAGGAAAAAGAAATTGCAAGAAAACCCAATACTCCTTTTTCCACTACACATACAAGGACAGAACAAGAGAGAGGGAGGGATGGAGAGAGATGGAGCAAGAGAAACCCAATGCAGCAGAGAGAAAGACTGAAATAAAGAGAGACCCAATTCAGCAAACACAATGAAAGGAAGAGACAGACCCAATTAAGAAAAATTACTGAAAGTAACCCAGTTCAGCATTCACATTGAAAGTGACCTAATTCAGCAAAATCCAGTTCAGCAAACACAATGGAAGTAAGAGAGAGAAACCCATTCCAGCAAACAGACTGGTAATGAAATAAAACATGAAATCTTGAGCAAAATCACGATTAAATAAATGGGTCTTCTTTCCACGAGTGAAAAATGAGCAGCTGTGATTACCTTGAGAGCAGACTCCCACCTCAAAGCAGTGATCCTTTCATGGAGAGCTTCGAGTACAGTCTTCGGAAGAAGCTTCTTCGAATTGTTAGGGCCCCTCTTCTTCTCTATCACCTCCTTCGTGGCTTCCCTCCTCAGAATGATTGAAATGGCTTTCTTTGAAGCAATTTTCCTGTTTATCTCCTCTCTCCTTTCTCTCTCCTCTTGACCTGATAGTTTCAGACACACAATAAAGGATTGAGAAGCGGAGGGAGCAGGTTCTAGCTCCCTCCAAATGGGAGTTGAGCCAAAATGAGATGTAGAGAGAGAAACCATTTACGAAATTGGAGTTGAGACCAAAGGATATGCAGAGAGAGAAAGCATTTACCAATTTGGGGTCGAGCGCCAAAGAGACGGAGAGCGAGAAATTATTTACAAAAATATCTGTTCGCTGCTGCCCACGCGCCATAATGTCAAGAGAGAGAAGAGCTTTAAAGGACTCAAATGTACACATCTTTTAATAAAATGACAAGCGGACCTTTTCAGCCTTGAAGCTGGACAGGAAAAGCGTTCAAGACCTCGCTGACTTTTCAACGTCCATCTTAAAGATGGACGTTGTGTAAAGCGCATGCTTTCAAATCAGATATGGACGGTGCATATCGCATAAGAAATACTTTTTAAAGTTTAATAGGTGTGGTTTCTATAAGGTTGTAATTTTGAACGATCCAATTAAATTTTATTTTTAAATTTTATAATAATTTGGTGTAAAATATTTTTAAAATTATTTAAAAATTTATATTTATATTTAATTATAAAATTTAAATTTAAAAAATAGATCTAAAAATATATAAAAATCTTAAAAATAGATGATTTAGATAATATATTACAAAATACATTATTTTTAAAAGCTCAAATTTCTTTTTTTGTTTTTTCATATTTATACATCTAAATGTCGGGATGATTAATTAAAAAGTTTTTCAACATTAAAAAAACATTTTTCAACATTAAAACAACATTTTTCAATAGATTTTTGAGATGCATATGTATTTCTACATTTTAAGGTTTTAACGTTATATAAACTTTTCCAAGTTTAATATATTTTTTTGTTCTTTCATATTTATGATCATCTTCATATTATTAACTTCCAGAATTTTGGAACAAAATTCATGTTTAAAGTGAACTTTTGATGGAGACCGTATATGTACATATGAGTCAGCTGACTCATGGGAACCGCCCCCGGCTGGAAATCCAAAAACCCTATTGAGTTTTTAGGGTTTTAAGCCCCAGACTGAGAGACCGATCCTCTCTTCCTCTCACTCTTTCTCTCGTTATTTCTATTAAAACCAGAAGTAGGAGAAGAAAACTGAGGTAGAAGTAGAAGAAGAAAACTGAGGTGAGTGTCCCCTTCTTCTCCGTTTGTGTCTTGGTTTGGACAGAGGCTCTCTCTCTCTGTGTCTCTGTCGGTCTTTTCCATCGAGCAGTTTCTTAATGTTTCTCTTTCTAATGGAAAGAGAAGCACGGGAAGTGAAAGAGATGGAAAAACAAGCCCCTTTCATGATCGTAGGGATGGAATCCAGGGATTCACTATATAAATCTCTACGAAACACTTCTAGTGAGAGGGACTCTGGGGTTTGACCCTTTCTTGATTGTTTAGTGTAATTTGTGTGCTTAATATAAATTAAATGCATTGGAAGTTTATTTTTTAAATCTCATTGTGCTGTTGAAAAATCCTCTAATTGATCATCTGGACATCGAGATTAACAAATATGAAAAAAAAAAGATTTTAAGTTCCAGAAATAGTGCATCTTGCAACACATTATCTAGACCGTCCATTTTCAAGATGTTCATATGTTTATAGATCTACTTGATTTTAACCATTTGATTTTAACCATTTTTAGAGTTTAAAATTATATAATTAGATATAAAAATGGATTTTCAGATAATCTTAAGATTTTTTTACACCAAAATTATATGTTATGATAAAATTTGGCGGTGCGCCATAATTGGATTGTTTAAGGTTGCAACCTTATAGAAACCACACCCTATTTTTTGGAGAAAATTTTATTTGGTTGATGGCATGGAGTTCATTTGTAGGGCCAAAGGGAAAATTAGGGTTTCCTTCAAAGGTCCATTGCAGTGTTTTGAGCAGGTACATCTACCGTGAAACTAGACAAACTGAGTTTAATATCTCTATTGTTATTCTTAAGGAGTAATTTCTTGCTGTATAGCCTGAAATTCTCTCTTTGATTTTTCTCATGCTTATTATTTTTGTGCAATTTGGTCGAGAATATATGGCTTAAGTTCACTAAATGGCTCAATAGCATATACAAGGTTTGTGAACCTTTTACAGTTAGGCATTTGAGAATGGGCCGGGGCTTTGGCGGTAGTAATAACAAGTCCTATGATGAAGTCTCGGACTCCATTCTCATTCTCACCAAAGGGTATGGGCCAAATCCCCACGGACTTATCCTTTTTTTATTTATTTATTTTAACAGTTAGGCATTTTATGCATATGTGTGCATCGTTCTGTTATACATTCCTAAAAGGGCTATAAATTTGGAAAAAACAAAACAAAAAGGTTGTTGAAAATAAAAAAATTGGTAGAAAGAAAACTAAAACATGAAGAGCATTAAAATTCAAAAAATGATGAAAAATATAAAAAACAGAATTTGGAAAAAATATATTTACAGCTGGAAATAATTGAGAAAATTTAAAAAGGGTGGAAAATATAAAAACAGAGCCAATGATAAAAAGAAAGTCCATAAATCATCATCAAAATTATATAGGAACATGTTTTTGACATTGATTACTAAGAAATATAATTTTATGAATTTAGTTTTACTTTAGGAACATCTTTTTTACATTGATTACTAAGAAATATAATTTTATGAATTTATTTGTACTTTCCAATTTACTTGATCAGGATTTAATATCTGGAATCAACTTCCCCATCACATGACACATACTACTTGCTAAAAGAAGTTTCTCAACCACCTGGGGAAGTTATAATTTTGGGGGGGTTTTCTTCAATTTACAAGGAAGAGAACTGAAAAAGAAAAAAAATGGAGGGGAAAAGTGGATGAACCAGCTAAGTGGCTTATACCCATCCCAAAATTGTACTTCTTTCTTACTATGGAAATATTTCGATAATTTTGACCGTGAATGTTTCCCCAATTTGGCATTTTACCACATTTAAAAATCTTGTGTCCCTTGTATGGTTGTGATTGTGTTAATTTTTTTTTTATTTGCTGGAATTTCTTTTGATTTAATCCTTGCATATAAGTCTATTATCTGGGTGTAGTATTTTGAGGAAATTACGGCCATACTGAGTTTGTACACTACTACTTAACTGAATTTGAGTTACTCAGCTGAGACCAAGTCGACTCGGCCGAGTCCCTGAACATTGGTATGCATGATAAGTGGGATAATTTTCCTATTGAATATATGTAATTGGGGTGTCAACTGCCTCAACAAAACCATGGTTGTAACTAGCTGCTAAAAAACAAGGACTCAGGATGGGACTTTCTAGGGTCCCGAGCACGAGCTGGTCTAATAGACTTAAGTTTGTCACAAAATTCAATCGAGTCCAAACCCAAAAAAAAGGTAAATTATTGGGAATGGCTACACTCAACCGGTTCCCATATCTTTTGGTTATGCACCCTGCAGCCTGTAGGGCCTTAGTAACGCAGTGAGTATGAGTCAGACTCGCCAAGTTTTCCGACTTTAATGCAACCCATGAGTGAAATCATATCTCCTTACCACAATATATTGTCGTTACAAGGACTACTGTAAAGAAACTCCAAAAGTATGATGTGATTCCAATTTTCATGTGACAACATGGGCATATGGTATGCGCAGGTGTGAAGGCATCAATAGCAAATTTTTTCATGTGCTTGTATTTCGAAAGACCAGTAACATAAAGTTTTTCTTATAATTCCTCATATTATAATTATACCATAATTTTCCCTAGGAGAGGTGTGGGAGTTTCATACCTAGATGGTATAAATTATGACAAGTAGGGTGTGTTTGATAACAGGAAGTGTCTTCCTGGAAGTTGGAACTTACCTAATACTGTTCATGTTTTGTGTTTGGTAAAAAAATGGAAGTCAAATTGAGAACTCCACTATACAATTCATGTTCACATCTTTGTATGTTAAAAAAGTTCAGACCAAAAGGTCGGAACTTGAAATTAGAAGTTTGGTTAAACTTCATCCCCAAAAAAATTTTTGCCCTAGGATTTCTTCTCCTATTCTTTGCTCGCGCTGAGCCACCCCTCTCTTGGGGCCGTCTCCAATTCTTTGCTCGCACTGAGCCACCCCTCTCTTGGCACCACCGCTTACAGCCAGAGCTAAATCCTCATCCCTCACTAGGGTGAGAGGGAGGTCAAAGCTAGAGAGAGAAAGAGCGTAGAGAGACAAAATGAGGGAAAGAGCATTCATCACATAGGGCAGGCAGGGATTCAAGTGGGGAATTCGTGTTGGGAGCTTTACTGTCTCAAGCATGGGATTCAGCCTGATGGGATCATGCCTAGGTTTGTTATAGATCTTCTCTTCTTCTCTGCTATAGATCTTCCTTTTTTCTGTTCTTTTTGATTGGAATGCAGTGATTTTGAAGGTATTTGTTTTTATTGTCGGTTTTAAGTTTTTTTAGGGTTCAAATCAGATGAAACTGCTCTGATTTTTTTTAACTTTTGAAGGATTTTACATTTTTTATTTTGACCGGAGTTAGTCATGTTTCTCCTTGATGAATTCTTTATTTTCTTGATTTTACTATTATTCCATGGAATTTAGGTGATAAATCGTAGATCTGCAACAAAATTTGAAGGAATGTGTTCAATATTTAAGGTGAATTTGAGTGGAGTGGTCCTGCTTTTCCTGAATTCAAATATTATTGTTGTTGTTTGCTGTTTTTGTTGACAATTTTAAGTGGGATCTGTAATGTTTGATAAAAAAAGCATGAATGGGGGTTTATGAACTATTTATTACCTTTTTGCTTTTTTCTCTTTGATGAATGCTTTATTTTCTTGATTGCACTATTATTCCATGGAATTGAGGTGATAAATCGTTGATCTGCAACAAAATTTCAAGGAATTTGGTCAATTTTCAAGGTGAATTTGAGTGGAGTGCTTCTGCTTTTCCTGAATTCAAATATTATTGTTGTTGTTTGCTGTTCTTGTTGGCAATTTTAAGTGGGATCTGTAATGTTTGATAATAAAAACAATAATTGGGGTTTGTGAACTATTTATGACATTTTTGCTTTTTTTTCTTTGGTTAAAACTTGCGGATCGCTGTGCATTGGGTTCTTCCTTCAAGTTGGGATGCATTAATCTATGAATTTTCAGATTTAATGATTCTTTTTTCCCTGTAAGATGTAATTTCTAATTTTTAAATTTGTTTTTTAACTGATGAATTATTATTTTGTGTGATATTTTACACTGATTAAGCATGGATGTTCCTGTTTCGTACTCAGTGCTGATTTTTAATGTTTCTCGAGTCATGAGGATTTAGTGTTTGTCATGTGATTATCTCGTATAACTTATGCTATTGTTTATTTATAGAGGTAAAGAGGCTTTGTTATTCCTGGAAACTTATGCTTTTGAAGCAGCTGGTTGTGTGATCTGTGAGGAGTTTGAGTCCCAAGGCTTTGATAACTTAACTTGCTTGTTCTCATCCCTGTGGTTTATTTAGGGTCTTACTTTCTGTTAGTACTCTTTCTATGAGGCAGCAATTGGTATAATTTTAAATTTTGTTGACAACTGAATTTTTATTATAATATTCAGCTTTTTTACCACAAAAATTGAGTAGCATTTCACTACTTTAATAAGCTGAATTTTCCCAACAAATTGCATAGTTTTTAGGTTGGGATATGGAGGCATCAGTGGTGAATATAAGTAGTGCTCAAGTTATTACAGAAAAATAATATTGTACTTTACTTTCAATTGATATTGTATTCCAAAAAATAATATTCTACAAATTAATAAAAAATAAAAAATATCTATCTCAATTTTGACATTTACGTCATGCCTATTACTTAAGCTAATCCAATACCCAGCTCGTCTTTAACTTCCCAGGAGGTTATCAAACACAGAAACCAAGAACTTCTTAACTTCCCAGGAATTTCAATCTTAACTTCCCAGGAATTTCAAACACAGAAACCATGAACTTCTTAACTTCCCAGGGATGTTATCAAACACAGAAACACAGAAACCAGGAACTTCTTCAGGCACTACTAATTTATAATTCTTTAGTAATTTCCAATTTCCAGTTCATGTTCTTGCTTCCAGTTATCAAACATGCCCGTATTGGAGGTTCTTAGATAAATGATCTAACACATAGGGTATTTCTTTCATCCTTCCCATCCTAAGCCCATTCCTAGTTTCCTCTAACTAGCGAATCTGGTTTCCCCTAACTTTGCACCAGTTTGTTGATCCTTTGCAGTCCAAACCCATGAGTAATTCACTTCAAAATCCTACCGCCTACTCTTTTTCTTTCACTTGTATTGCTAAGATCTTTCTTTGACTTGTATAGCTAAGATCTTATGTATCTTATGTTTTCTCTTTGATCAGAGAGTCTTGGAGGGAGGGAGAGGGTGGGGGAGCAAGAGGGTGTTGTGGGGAGCCTCCCACCCACCTAGGGGGGGTGGCAGGGGGGGGGGGGGGAGGTGGTGTTTCAAGTGTTTAGGTTTTGTCCCATCACACCAGGCAGTCTTCTGCTTTAATGATTTTCTGCAAATTTATTTTATCTAGTTCCTCACGAATTTTTTGTTTCATATGTCCTAGTTTTAATGCATTCTTGAAACAATGTCAAGTTCTCTTCTTTATTGTATGGTTGTTTATTGAAGCTGGTTTGGAAAAGAAATAGGGGTGGGGCATCTGTTTGTTTTTTAATAAATCTTGTTTTAGTTTCATATGGTTTATTTGGAATAAAAGGGCAAGGGGTAGGCTGAAAAGGTTATAGTTGGAAGTAACGAGAAAAGATATGGGGACTTATGGCCTTATTGAGGGTAGTCCTTCAAAAAGCAGAATGACGGAATAAGATTTGTGTAGCTTAATTCAATTAGTTGGGAAAAGGCTTTGACAATAATGATGGCTTATTTGGAATGTTATGAAATTTTGGGAAATCAACGTTGTTGCAATAGCCAATGAACCAATGAAGTCATCAACAGTAGTGAGGTTATATATATATATATATATATGGAAAACACTACGCAACGCCTATAGGCGAAAATAAACAGTGATTTCGCCTTCCCCCATCACCGTCCAAAGTTCATCGCGCGGTCACGATTGTCCGGTAGTGTTTCATTTTTTTATTTTTTTTTCTACAAATCGGAATGACTTGAAATTTAGGGCGTGTATTCATAAAAAATAGGAGAATCTTTGAAAATTATATAAAAAATTATTTTAGATGAAAAAAATTGACCAAAATATCCCCGAAAAGTTTTAGGGGTATTTTGGTCAATTTATTTTTTAAGGATAATTTTTTTTATATTTTTATTAGATGCACCTCAGTAAGATGTACATACCCTCAAAATTTCAGGTCACTCTGTTTTGTAGAAAAAAAATGAAAAATAAAACATTACTGGACAAATTGTGACCGCACGATAAAATTTAGACGGTGATGAGGGTAGGCGAAAACACTATTCATTTTCGCCTATAGGTGTTGGAAAGACTTTTCCTATATATATATCTATATATATATATATATATATCTATATATATATATATATATATATATATATATATATAGTAGAGTAGAGTAGAGTAGTAGTAGAGAGAGAGA